GCTTCTCTGGGGATATAGAAACAAAGAAAAATATTGAGAAAATCTCAACTTCTCTGGGGATATAGAAACAAAGAAAAATAGTGAGAAAATCTCAACTTCTCTGGGGATATAGAAACAAAGAAAAATATTGAGAAAATCTCAACTTCTCTGGGGATATGAAAACAAAGAAAAATATTGTAAGTGGATATGTTTACACGAAAGCCTTTTCTGCGCATAACTCATGTGCAGTGCGGTATAGTTTCAGTAAGTATGACTTCAGTTGATCAAAATTCCCTTGTGTGCTTATTAAGTTCCACAAGTATGATTTATATATTTTAGTTTTATACGTTTATAAAAACTGTTTCCCGGAAAAGGCTCATTTACTTTTTTTCTTCTACAAGTTTAGATAGAGAACATCAGTTTCAACCTCGTCCATAACAACGTGTTTTTTTTCATAATGTTCATTTATAAATTTACAATAAATCCTTGTTCTAAGAAGACACTGTTTTACCTGAAGTAAAAGAAAAAAGCTCAATGTATGTATGACTTCGTAAGTGCAAATAACTAAAGAGGAAAATTTAGTTGCATCTGTTGTTTTGTCACACAATAAATACTAATTTAACTATCATAAATGGCGTGCATTCTACAAAAGCGCTATTCGTTTTGAAAATAATACTAGAAAAAAGAAACAGTATATTTCTATTTATCTGTCTATTTAAACTATATATATATATATATTGAGATCTTTTTAAAACGTAATAATTTGGAATGAAATTGTTCACTTAAAACTCCTATATATATATATATATCCATTTTTAGGGACGTTGATCTTCTTGGGGTCATAAAGAAACCCTTTTTGCCTGTGTTTTTTTCAGCCTCAAAAAATCACATACTTTTGTTCGAGAAACTTTATCGCATTAACGTTTAGTTGAAAATAAACACTAGTTGATCTTGCATAATTCTTTCATAACTGCTTACTTGTGATGCTAATTAGTTACAGTTTAAACTAAAACAACATAAAATTTGCTCTATATTACTTTAACAACCCTAGAGAGTTATAAACTTTAAGTCGCCAAGGTTTTCGTATTCTTTGTTTCATTCCTTCGAAATAAGCACAGTGTGTTGTTCAACTGAAAATAACTCAACAGAAGAGTTATGCAAATGTTGCGAAACGACAACGTGTTACCTCATCAGACGTTTTTTTTATATGAAGTAACTGAAAATAAATCAACACAGGAGTTTTACAAACGTTGTGCAACGACAACGTGTTACCTCATCAGACTTGTTTACATGAAGGCTCCTGGCTCTAATTACCCCGTCTCGCTGTTGCAGTAGACATGTTTGAACTGATCACAGTAGTGACGAATCAGGATCTGACTCTTCATAAGAGAAAGAAAGGGACTTTGAGTTATATATACACGTCCCTATTTTTGTCTTCCTCTTCCAGGCAGGCTGCCAAATGCTGAAAGACATTGCATCTGGGTTGGCTGATCCATCGACAACATCCACTTACTTTTTCAGATAAACACTCCTGTAATGCATAGTGTACGTAGGTTGGCAGAACAACCAAAGAAGATTTACCCCGTCTTTGTATCGCTATTTCACGTGAAGTTAAAGGCTTGAAAAGGTAGTTTTCTATCAGTCTCTAGGTGCTGTAAAACAAATAAACACGCTTATGTGACTCCTGTTTTGAGGATCACTGTCAACTTCCTCTTCATCTCGAGCTTCTGCCACTTGTTAACTTATCACACAGGCGTTTTTCAGTCTTGGAATCATGTCGCAACTGTAGAGAAAGTAATTTCTGGCAACCACATGGGCTTTAGCTCTTGGTAACCTGACCCACTTCGCCCCTCCTTCCCCCAATTCTCCCGCCACTCCGGTCCTTGGAGGTGGGAACTTATTCTGAGCTACGATTTTAAAAAACCAAGATCTCACCACATAAGATCAATCGTCTTATAGGAGTTCAAACTTACGTTAACATCTCGCACTTGACCACAAAGAGACCAGACATGCCAAGAGCATTTTTGATTCGCCGTCACAATCCTGTACTGGACACTGAAGATACAAATGGTACAAGAGGTAAGATATACTTATTTAAATGTTTAGATCTTTTAATACAACATATTATTTTAAAGGAACCAGTTTTTAAACGATTCTTAAAATAATCCACAATATATATATATTACTAGAATGTCATGAAGTCACTGTCGTCCATACGTTTTGAAGAAAAGTAAACTTATGATTACACTCTTAAATATTATATAGTATTATAAAGGTTATTGTGAGAACAATGTTTTATAAAGCAATAAAAAATAATGTATCTAGTTTTGAAACGTAGTGTATAAAATAATGAAACTTAAATTGTTTAAAATAGACATGTAATGTTCTAGATAACAGAAAAAGTGGAAACAATACGCTCTGTGCTGTAATTGTTATTGCAAATCGTTTACTGGATATTGTATAAGAACAGTAGTATTTCAGTCTTATGTTAGACATAATTCTAAATTGGTAGTTTCTATCAGCTGTTTATTAATGCTTAGACATTTATTACTGTGGCTCAGTTTTTTGTTCCTGTTTATTGAGGACGTCAACATAAACAAAATTTTACTTCTCCGAAGATTTGTATAAACCAAGAGCGATATAACACTGGATATTTCTAAATAATTCTAAAGCTAATAAATTCTAAGAACAGTTTAAAAGACAAATGAGGTAAAGTAGATATATTCCCCACCAAAGTATATTTCAATCGTTCCCAATCGTCAGTTGTGATATGTTCTAGAGTACCAATCACATCTTCTTTTACTGTGATACCCACAAGAAATCGAAATAAACAACTGTATTACGTCTTAGTCACGTAGTGAGTGTTAGTTATGATATGTTCTAGAGTACCAATCACATCTTCTTTTACTGTGATACCCACAAGAAATCGACATAAACAACTGTATTACGTCTGAGGCACGTAGTGGGTGTTAGTTATGATATGTTCTAGAGTAGCTGTTAGCAACAACTGCTTTATCATTTTGTTATGTTTTAAGAGACAACCGGCTATTATGAATAACAAAGTTCGCTTTGTAGCAGTTATATCTGTTTAGAACATTCAATTATTTAGTTATTGTTTTATGATTCCAGGCAAAAGAATATAAAGAGCCAAAAATAAAACCATGAAATTAAACATGATTATGATTCTGGAACATGTAGTATAACACAAATACAAAAAAACACCTCGAAAAGGGGGTAAAGATATAGGTTAATGTATACATTGTTATCTCATTTAGCGTAGATGTGATTTTCAGCTTTTCCAGTAACAGTAGAAATTTCAAAGAATTGAAATTGTTAGTAGCTCACAGTTAATTGACAGGATTGAGATTTATTTTATAAGAATGCTGGCGAGTTAAACATCATAGAAAGTGAAAATAGTAAGAATAAATAATTTAGATATACACATATTTCTTGTAAATACAGATAAGTAAATATTTCATTGGGCTGTTTAAACAAAATATTATCAGTATGTTATATTCAGTTTTGTCGTGTAAATAACACAACTCTTAAAGCGTAATTTGTATTTTAAAAAAATCTTAAAATCTGTCTTCTTTTTTATTCATATGTATCGAGTTTACCCAGTTTTCATGTATATGAGGATAATTAAATTAAAGTTGAGATATTTTAATTCAACCATAGGTTCGTGTGGTCTAAAAATCTATTTTCTGTCATTTTAGTTAGGATTAATTCATTACTATAACTATTTCTTATGTTTTAAATTTACCACTGATAAAATATTCATTTCTGCTTTATATTATTCATTAACCTTCATATAAAAGTCACACTGAATCTACGGGGGAGGGGAGAAAGCTTTAATAGACAAAGAAACTGTAAGATTTTGCAGTTTTGGAAAGATTTGATGACCGTTTAGACTCAACTTATAAGAAATTCAAAACACATTTCTCACAAACGTACTTTGAATGTACAGGAACCAATCCGTCACGTTACTAAACCACTAATTCTTTTAATTACTGTGACCAATAGAAATTTAATCAAAACAATATCGCTTTATGACGGCGATTTTATTACTTCTCTCCATCATTACTTTTAAACTGTGTTTATACTAAAATTAAAAAACTAGACGAGCACGTCATCTTGTTTCTGCCAGACAACGGCGAGAAGCGCATGTCGTCTACCAGTCTTTAAGCGTTTCAATCGTCATTTAATGTTATTATTAGGGGTTGTAATGAAAAAGTTTTTAACACAAGTTGAAACTCAACAGGAATTATATGTAGTCTTATGCTAGTTCGTATCACATTTTCCCCGTATATATATACACACCATCTTATACTTATACATATATTTACAGTGTATTGTATTCTAACCTGCGGGTAGTACTGTACGCGAAACAACTTAAACTAAATACCTGTTCTAATCTTCCTACAGGACACTGATAAATCTTGAAAAAGCGGTATTTGAATGGTCTTATTTAAGTTGAAGTAATATTCATTTTACAAGTTTATCCTTCAACCTGATTAGATAGTGTTAACTCTGCACTTTGAACCTTACATGCTAGAATATGGAAAATACACGTCTACCTTAGACATTATGTTAAAAAGATATCACTGTTTTGTAGGGACATAGGACTTTATAGTGTGATAGAACTGGAACTTGAAAATAGAAAATTAAAATAACGATATTAGTGAAACAAAGGATGAAGCAAAAGAATATAAATAAAACATATATATATATATATTTAAAGGATACGTTTCTTATTTCAATTATCATTATTACTTGATTATATTATCCTTATAAATATCATCTTTGAAGCAAAACTAGCGTAACGCATAGTCATATAATACCGATTATTCTGTACTATTTCTTAACGTCAAGTTGACGTCAGGTGTACAGGTTTAGTCGTGAGTCATTTACATCGTCATTAGGATGAAACTGAATCACCTTTGTGGTTATTCTGTATCATTTTAATTTTGGAATTGACATGACGTGTACCGGAGTTTCATGCTTGACATATGTGTATAATATATATACATATATCACCTTTCAGACAGAAGTTGACATCGTACGCGTGTACTAATATAGTTCTATGACCGTAATATAATGTCTATTTTAGTTTTTCTTTCATTTTGGGGTTTATCTAGACAACCCTTAAGAAAACTGTGGCAGTTGATTTTTCAAAAAGTAATTTTTTTGGGGGGGGGTGAATTATTATTATATAAATATTATAAGCATTTGTTTATACAAAACTACTGGGACTCCAAGGGGCAGACATATTATTCGAATGAGTGGGCAACAAATATCTTTTGGGAATTGATGAAAAATAAAAAATAAAAAGAACAAGTACAGAAAACGAAAACCGAAATATTAGTGAGTCATTCCAGCATCAGCACTTAACATGTAACCAGGTTTTACTAAGGTTTGTGAAATAGTGAGCTAGGTATAAAGAAATATAAATATAAAATACGATAAGCTGTTTGCAAAAGACTTCATTTTGTTGGTTTGATTTTCTTATATGCTATTGACTAAAATACTGATATGTTTTCAGAATACTGACTATAATGATTTAAAATGACGTTGGCTTCAGAGAAGTTAGGTGTGGTCGAGCGTTGAACACACTTTTAAGAAATGTTATAACATGGTTCGAGTGTGAGTAGATTGGTATGTTTCCCTTTTTTTTTGGTACAGTTTAATTTCTAACTATTTTCTTCTCTCCCACAGAGAACAGCCCAGAGAGAAGTGTCTCTACAGCAGAAGGGGATTCCTGCACTTATATCACGGAGGTGTCATTCCCCTTGAAGCCTGCTAGCCCCAAGTCCCCTGCCTGCCTCTCACGCCTCCCGGACAACTTAGTTACTCTCCCGTTGATGACTTACTTCGGAGATGTGCAAAAGGAGCCGCTAAGTTTAACAGTGGAAAGAAACCCCACTGCATGCCAGCGAGAACACAGTGATTTTGAAGTCGCAGGGGGTGAGACAGCAAAGCCCCTACAGGAGGTAATTCTTCAGGACCATCAAGTGGTTTCGAAAATAACGACGTGTGACAGTCATTCTTGTCCAGACTGTGGTAAGGTATATAGTACCACCAGCAATTTAGCTCGTCATAGACAGACCCATCGCAATGTTGCAGACAAAAAAGCTCGTAAGTGCCCACATTGTCAAAAAGTGTACGTGTCTATGCCGGCATTCAGTATGCACGTGCGCACTCATAGTCAGGGCTGTCAATGTCCATATTGCGGTAAGTGCTTTAGTCGACCATGGCTACTTCAAGGCCATATCCGTACCCACACTGGAGAGAAGCCCTTTACATGTCCCATCTGCAACAAAGCATTTGCTGATAAGTCCAATCTAAGAGCCCACATCCAAACTCACTCCACCAACAAACCATACATTTGCCAGCGATGTGGTAAAGCTTTCGCTCTCAAAAGTTATCTGTACAAACACGAGGAGTCCTCGTGTATGCGAATGAACCGACAGCACAAAACTAGCAGTCGAGGAACCAACAGGAACTCTTGTCAAAAGCTCTTACCAAGAGAGCAGTCTACAAGCACTTTTATTGAGTAGAGTACGTCTCTGAAGCTTCTGCATATCCAGGCATAAGACGGCGTCTCCATGAGTTTAAGGGAACAGAGAATATTGGCACTGAAGAAAAAAACATATATCATTATTGAAAACAACTCCTCCAGAGACCTGACTATGGAGTTGAAGAATTCGTTAAGTTTTTCACTCTGATATGATTCTTTTAAGTTGAAAAATAGTTTCTTCTGATTTTGATAATTTGTGAATTCACAAGTGCCAAGTTTATATAAAATAATCTATGATTTCAGTTAAGTGTACATCAAACGTTTATCATTGCTCAAACTGAACAGGTCTAAGGCATAACATGTTAACATTAGATTTTATAAGTTATATATATATATTCTTATGAAAACAGATCTCATTTACATCCACAATCAATAAAAATAAATAAACAATTATTATACTCATACAAAGTAAATATATTTGCCTAGTGACAGATTTTTCGTGTTTAAAACGTTTTCCATAATAATAATGAATACAAAACTCAAACTTATTGACCTACAGAAGCTCCAATATTCATTCCAAAAATCAGATTATTGTGTAGTGTTTTATAAAACTAAAGCTGATTGCAAGCCATCATTCCTAAAACCATCGTCAATGAATACTAATTATACATGAAAACGTGATTTTTGTTTCCTTCTATTTTCCAAGTTTAAATAGATAACTAAAGTTGTTAGTTTTAAAAGTAATTTTCGGCATTATCGGAATCTCAGTTTAGAAGAAGATTGTTATATTATTGACAATTATTTGAACAAAACCAAAGATGAAGGGAGAATTAATTATATCGATATGTTTAAAACTTTTGTCAGTTCAAGAACTTTTACAAATTTTAGGTTTTGTATACAGAAAAATAGATCGTTCCCTAATGAAGAATAACAGATGTTTGTTGTTGTTTAAAATACATAATATATGCTTATATAACTTATCTAAAAATTAAATCAAACTGAAAGTTATCTGCATAAATCTCCTTTCAGTAAGGACCAACAATTTTTTTAATTCGTGTTAATTATCGTGCGTGTTTTAACGTGGTGTTGCGGTAGTTCTAAAAAATCAGACATTTGGGTAAGATGAACTCGGTAGTGTGTTGGACAAAGTAATTGCTGTTTGAAGTTTTTTCAATGACTTTTATTGTGGTCGCTACAGTTTTAAAATCATTACTGTATCAACATGAATATATTTTAACAGTTTGCGTTTGATTGAAGTTTTGGGATTAGAACTTGTGCTTAGTTATATATGTGAGTTTGATGTTATTTTCTACTAATTCCATTCTTATAATAATATTTTTATAATATAATGAATAGTGATGTGTCTGCTGGTGATTTATGTACAAAATTATATAATATTTTTGATGTACCCGTCATCTTTTAAAATTACATCAACTAAATTAAATTTATGAAGTATCAGGAGTATTCTACTTTAATTAATAACGAAATTATTGTCATTACCAAAATATTATTAGGAAATATATCTTGTATGTGTACATAGAAATATTGTTTTGGAGAAAAGAAATCGAACTACTGTCCTTAAATGGTATTGTGAAAGTAGTTTAATTGACAACCCATCCTAAAGTAGTTTAATTGACAACCCATCCTAAAGTAGTTTAATTGACAACCCATCCTAAAGTAGTTTAATTGACAACCCATCCTAAAGTAGTTTAATTGACAACCCATCCTAAAGTAGTTTAATTGACAACCCATCCTAAAGTAGTTTAATTGACAACCCATCCTAAAGTAGTTTGCTTTATGTTGAATGTGAAAAAGTTATGGAGAAATATAGCTAAAAAATACGGTATGAAATGCAAGGATTAAATTTCAATAAGGATGAGTTTAGTGAAACAGCAATGAAATAAACTCCAGAAATCATCTATTTGTATCTACCAATCAATTTATAGAAAGAGAGCGAGAGAATCCCTAAAAGACACCTACATACCTCTTGTTTTGTTATTTTCTTTACCTGATTTCCAGTAACAATAAATATTTATAAAGCAACAAAGGAGAAGCAATCTAAAATGATCTTTTTGAATGATAGATTACTGAAGCTTTTCAAGCAGCACAAGAAACGACTCCTTTGCAAATATATAACCATTAACCTAGGTGGGTGTAATTAATATAACCGTTAACCTAGGTGGGTGTAATTATCTCTGGAACCATAGTATAAGTGTTTTATTCATTAATGAAGCTTTAAAATTGAATCACTGTCCATAAGGAGGAATTGCACAATTGTTTTCTTTATGTTAGCAGTATGACGTATTGTAGATAGAATTATTTGTGTTTTTGTAACACTTCAAATGTTCGGTAAATTTTCAGCCTTTCACAAACGCAGCTATTGATCATTTTTCGACAAACTGGCGTGTTTGTTTTAAATTGATGAAAGTATATGTAGATAGTGTCTAGTTCTCTAGTCTTATTTATTTATTTATTGTCCGTCTTTATTTATTTATTTACTTTTTTGCATAATATTAATCATGTAGACATAAAAATAAAAAAAAAGGCTTTGAATGTCAAATATTGCAACTGTGGTGATTATTTATTCTTGAAAATATTTCTGGTGTCCACCTGTCATTTATCACTTTAAATTATTTTTAAGCCTTGGATAAAACAATTAATTATCGGGACGACAATTAAGAAATGAAATCTTTTAATTTGTAAATTTAAAATTAAAGGTTAAATTTTAAATTCAATCTTTTACTTATACTGCAACCTTTTTTACAACATAATTTGAAGAAGTTGAATGTTTAGAAGCAAGAGTAAAACTAGTTTTCATAATGACCGATGCAAGTTTAATAAACTAAAGACATTTGTCCATAAAGTAATTCTTAAGATACTGAAATACAACATGTTTAATTGCCATACAGGATACAGTTAGAAACACAAAATAATTCCCCAGTGGCACAGCAGTATGTCGGCGAACTTGCAACGCTAGAAACCGGATTTCGATACCCGTGGTGGGCAGAGCACACATAGCCTATTGTGTAGCTTTTTTCTTAGTTCCAAACAAACAAATAAAAACAAAGTATATGTTTTTCATTGCCTGGTCTTCAGCTCTACTTGAAAATACATAGATGAATCTTTTTCTTTTGTCATGTCATGTTAATAGATAATAAGTGAAATAATTTTTCTTGCAAACCCGATGTAATTTTGGTTTTATTTGTACAATATTAAGAGCTCAAATTGTAATTCAGTAATATGAATTCTACTAAAACTTTCAGATTACAAACAAACTGGGTGAACAAGTTGTAACTAATATAACTAAATCTTTTACAAAGTCATTCTAAAACTTCTACATCTGAAAAATTATCGGATCGATATACAGTTTTAAAAGTACATAAAAATCCAGTTAAATAGAGACTGTGGTTTGTTTGCAATTAAGCACAAGTCTACACAATGGGCTATCTGTGGTCTGTCCAACAGTTATCGAAACCGGGTTTCTAGCGTTTGAGGGCCGCAGACATACCGCTGTGCCATTGGGGGTGGGGGTAAATAGAAACTGTTATATAGCAGCCAACCATCCTCGTTAACCTAACTTTTATTTTACTAATAAATATAATTACAGATATTCATCGTAGCATGCATTCACGATTTCTGGATGTTAAATAATAACAAAATTGTTTTACATGACCTAGAAATCTTTCATAAAGCGCAAAGTCCTGTTTCGGTAGTCATTGATCACTTTATATCTCTACGTGTGAATATTCCTTTAGACCTCTCGATCAGAAATGTAAAACTACTATTCCATTCATTTCTCCATGAATCAAATGGAATACCTAATTCTGAAACCTATTATAATGAAAATGTGAAATACTTTACTAACTTCTGTATCTATAACAACTCTATTGCTTTGAAACATACTGAATCTAAACAGGTTGTTAGTATCTACGGTTGTTAAATTTCTTACATGTTTTGTTTTTATTCAAATTTGTGTACGACAAATGTATTAATTTCAAATTCATTTATCTTAACTAACAGATACAGAGATTATTTAATTAGTTTAAATAGCCAAAATATTAATAAGTATGTTAATTATCATCTTATATCTTTTGCCCTATAATATAAAATACTACGATGTGTGATACATACACACGTTATATATAGTTATACATACAAATAACCTATAATATAAAATACTACGATGTGTGATATATACACACGTTATATATAGTTATACATACAAATAACCTATAATATAAAATACTACGATGTGTGATATATACACACGTTATATATAGTTATACATACAAATAACCTATAATATAAAATACTACGATGTGTGATATATACACACGTTATATATAGTTATACATACAAATAAGAAACAGTTCAGTTGAAGTAAATATTTCTGATTAATGTCGAAAGTTTTTTTACACGTGTATAGATTTCTTTCAGGTTGTAATACAGGAGCAGGTTGCTCCGGATTTTGGAGCTGGCGAGCCTAGTGCGAATTCGTGTGATACCACACAATGCTTCTAACACTTTAAGCTGTGTGTGCATAATAAGAATGACAGCCAATTCTTTAATGTGGTTGGTAGAGTCCTGTTGACTGACTGTCTTCCCTCTGATCGGTAGTTCAAAATTTTTTGCTATAAATAGAAATTCCTAGTAGTAATAGCATTTCTTCATCTTTATACTATAATAAGATAATTTTTCAGTTGCTTAGAGTTTGTAGAACTTGAAATAAATAAGAAAACTTTCTAACTAAATAGACTTTTTAATCATAAGACTTAAGCATAATGGTTTACAACAACGTGGTGTTACCCAAAGTCAAAATAATAACATTAGGAAAGCTTTATATCAAACTTTTGTTCTTTAGTAGAAGTTACTTAAATTACGCCATGCATGTTTTGGAGCAATCTACGAGTGAAGTATATCTTTCTAGCACATAACGTGTTTTCTGGAATTTGTGGGTATTTAAATTTATACACATAAATGAGTGCGCATTTTAACACCGTATTGTTTAATCTGGGTGATTGAGTGAGTTTTTTACTATTTAAAGTGAAATTCTGGAATTTGTGGGTATTTAAATTCATACACATAAATGAGTGCGCATTTTAACACCGTATTGTTTAATCTGGGTGATTGAGTGAGTTTTTTACTATTTAAAGTGAAATTCTTACTCTTATTCGTTTAACAGTAGCAATTTTAAAAGTAGATATCTTAGGTTTTATTATCATTCATACAGACGTGTAATTATTGATCGAGCTGGAATGCCAGCCAATTCAAGAGATACGTTTTACTTACACCTCCCCACCTCTCCAGCTACACGTTTGGCTGTATTAACCAGTTTT